GAAATACAATCATCAGAGTGCGTTACTGCGTGATTCTACAGTGTATGCTGAGCACTGAGCCCCCAGGGAAAGGGATGCCTACTCCCAAACCTCATGTCAAACACAGCGCGGTTAAGGGTTGAGACAGATGCCCACGGTGATACGAATGGAATAGGGGTTATGGAGGCACCGAAACCACTCTGCTTCATCCTAGCTTTTTGTGGCGCGGTAGATGCGCGAGGCTAGATGATGATACTGTGATAGTAAGAGCTTCTTAAACGGCAATTCGACGGTGGAGGTATGTCATGGCTGCGTAAGTTCAATCTCAACACGGAAATCAACTCGTGTATGGAACACATCCACCAAGCTGCATGCCATCAAAACCCACCGCTCGGCACAGTAACACCGTTTTGGGACCGTTTGAAGTATGATCAAGGCTAAATGCCTCCAAAATGCTATTCAGAAGAATGGAACAGCGAATTTCGAAGGTGCCGAGCAGAACGTAGATTTGGTAAGGTACAGAGCAAGGTACTAGTCATCTATTGTTGGCCAACGGAAATACTTGACAGCAAAAGGGACATTATAGGGTCACCTGAGACTGCATATCCATCTAATTTTCGATCAATATGTCTACAATGTAATAATAAACAGATGCGAATGTCACAGAAGACCAGCCCTATGCCAATACCGACGAACTGGTCCATAACCCAGCTTGGTAAGAATATGAATGAGCAAGTACAACCGAATACGGAAACAACTGGAATAGATTAACGCCTTCTCACAATGTCGGTTCTGTGTCGAGGCGAGCACCTCTGTGCTGACCTGTTCCGCCAACACTAGACTTGCGTCGGAGTCAGAGGGAGAGACAGGAGACTACAGATTAAGAGACAGTGACGATGACAGTCTCTGATGTCTAAGAAGGGTTAGAAACCGGATTTAAAAATGAAAAGGCACTTACATTTCGACTGAAAAGTCTGAGCAACCTTTTCGCGATCGGTAGCTTGAGCTCGCGCATCTTTTGCGTAGTCTGCGTGATTTTCCCCTCTAATTCTTCTACCCGCTTTGTCAATTCCTGCTTCGTTTTTTGATTACCCTGGCTATTAGCCAGCGTCCTCAGTCTCTTATTTGCTTCCTTTTGATCCTTGATCAACTTCTCCAGCTGCTTATTGAGGGTAGTCCCAGCTTGGGTCTCCTTGAGTTTCTTGTGGCGATCGACTAGCTCGGTTGAAATCAATACGTTGGTTTGTGGGTCATTGGAGGATTTTGAAGAGGCAAACTTGATGATGTCCCAGGCACTCTTATGGGTGTCCTCGAATCGTCGAACTGAGCACCCTTTCTCCATCATATCATGCCAGAAGCTCGTCTTCAGCTGTTCCTCTCGCTCCGCTCCGACTTTTTCACTAACATGGCTCCACATCGTCGTTACGAGGACCACATGGGGCATGGCGCTCCTTCCGCATAAACTTGCGAATAGTTCGAGATTCTTCAATGGCGACCCAGCCATGCGATTATCCGAAATTCGGTGCAAGTACAGGATAGCTGCGAGGTTATAATTGCCGTTGCGCCTGTCGCCTGATCAGAGACCACGCATATTATTTTGGATAGACACTTACGCCGTTACCATATATTCGGCGATCATGGCTAGGATTTCTGTGTCTGATTTGTATGTATCGTCGAATCCAGGGGTGTCGACGAAAGTGTATGTCCGACCTTCGAATTTAACGGGTTTGCCAATAACAACACCGTCTGTGCATGATCGTAATCCATGACCAGCACCTTTGATTTCTTGCCTGGTAGCAGTATCAATGAACTACATGGGTGTTAGCCTAATGGTCATTGTCGTAAATCTAAAAACGTACGGTACTCTTGCCAGCCCCAGTCGGGCCCATAAGACTGATAATATAAGTAAGCGTTAACTGCCATAATATTCACATGTTGACGTACACAATGATACTTTCAGTGGGTCCAGACATAGCGGATAAGTTGTCGACGGGAGGGCGAGATATGCCGGGAAGACTATAAAGTCAATGACATGAGGCCAGAGGTCGTTTGCAGCCTCCATGCGGGATGTTCGTGGCTGTGGGCCCCGTGTACAAGGTTAGATGCAGATACCTTGCGCATGGTTGGTTTACTGTACGGACATACCAGGATTGATTTGATATGCATGTCAGTCCAATTCTTTGGTGGCGACCAACCTAATAGGCGAGGAAAAGCGGTGGCTTCTAAAAGGGACTACCTCACTACTTCAAAAAGTATGAAGAAGCGTACACCTGAACCGAAATCGCGTTAATCGGCAGGTGGACATGCGACGTCTTACCTGCGGTTTTGGACGGTCGGTTAAACACCCGTTAGAGTAGATCCAATCTCGATGCAATACGCAGGCATACCGAGCCTTTTTCGAGGCGTAATCAAAGCAATGAAATTAAGGTGCGAATAAGGCGGCGTTGTGTGACTGTGTAGAGCCTGGTCGAGGTGACCTTCCCTTTGTTTGCTTCATTATCCCGTATTTTCTCATCTGAATACCCAATTGTACACAATGGAGTGCTACAATAGATAACAATCTAGTTACACGACTGGTCTCGAATGCGCTTGGATCTGACTATGTAGCAGACTACTTGATGAGTGTTTGCGCATCTGTCTGCTGTCCATCAGGTCGTTAAATGCATGACAATGCTCATCTATAATTATACATCCAACAGAAAGTCCCCTCTTTTTTCCTTCTGAACCTATGCCTGAATTTGGAGATTAGTTTGAGACTCGAATGGGTGTTTCAAATGCTTACGGCTGTACGTGATCGTCTAAGAGTGAGTTTGGAGAAGGAAAGCAACCATTTGTGCTTGTGCTCATGGCTCTTCTCCGTTGAAAGCAGAATTCGAGCTTTGATCTCCTCGGGACTACAACCAAGAATCTCCAAGGCAGATTCATACGAATCTTTGAACCGCACCACCTCGCTGCCTTTATCCATCAGCTCTTTCCAAAAGTCCTCGCACAATTGCTTCTCGCGTCGACGTCCCAGTTCTTCATTAACTTGACTCCACATCGTCGTCACAAAGGTAACATTGGGTACTTGACGCTGACGGCAGATACTCGCAAACAACTCGAGATTCTGGAGTGAGGGACCAGCCATTCGGTTATCAGAGATCTTGTGCAGATAGAGGATACGTTCAATATGGATTTCCTTTTTATAACTGCTTCCACGATTAGGTTTCAAATCAACTGCGTTAGGCCAAAGGGACTTACGCTTTCTCAAGATGCTCAGCAATTTGGCTTAGAGTTTGGACTGAGGGTTCAGTGGTAGCATCGAAACCTGGGGTATCGACGAGGACAATACTTCGACCGTCAGTGGAATCGGCTGTGGTGAACTCGACTTCTTTTGTGCAAGGGTGCAAACCATGACCGACTCCCCTATCGGATTGACCAGTTGCATAGTTGATGAACTATACGTAGGGTCAATTACTGAGATTTAGATATCTGTAGGTGGTTGTGGTATTACCGTAGTTTTCCCCGCTCCATAAGCTCCCATAACGCTGCATGTCCATATGAGCATATTTTGTAGATATTGAGGGCCGCGGGACGTACACAATGATTCGGTCCTTGGATTGCTTATTTCTGAACATGGTGTAGAATATTTCGATGGATACTCAAGAGATTAGGATGTAGGGTGGATATAAAGATGGTTTGAGGCCATGAGGTCCAAATGCGGATCGATGCCACACCTTGCATGCACTTTCGGTCCTGATCCCTTGAACAAGGACACTTGTGGCTATGGGACATGAGGAGAGGGTGACAAGTGATTGGCTGTCTATTCTCCTTGATAGTCGTCACATGGTGTATTCACTGTCAGTGCTCTTAACATCGTTCCATATGTAGTAAGTGTCCAACTTGCGCCGGTATTCTTTTCACCAGACGGCTTCCTCTTTCGTAGAGGCAATGCCGATATCATATAATCACCTTTGTTTAATGCTCTATACTTAACTTAGATTATCGGTCTTTTGGTGTCTTACTTTAAGTGTGTCGACACCTGTTGGACGTGTGGATAAGCGATAGGTACTTCGAGCTTATGCAGGGTTTAGAAGACGCCCCGAGTAGTATGACCCCTGCATAATATCGATTGGTCTGAATGCTAAGTGGCTCCAATGACCGAAGGAAAGACGCGGGCATTTCGTCCTGCCACGATGTAGAGTTGCCATATTTGATGTTGAGAAAGGCCCGACTGACAGGATATCGAAGAAAATGGTAGAAGGGTTCAGAGACGAGATCTATCACGTGACTTGGGGTTTTTATGCATAATAACATAATCATACAACAGAAAAGGAGAGTGTACAGATATACTTCTAAATGTGAGTCCAGGACTTGGATGAATCGTCCATTTATTATTATCACTTGTCGTGTTCTTGAGAAGGCAGAGTCGCTTGGCTGCACCTGTCCACGGATCGCAACAACAATTGCGCATACATAGCCACGAATAGGTTACACTGCAGCAGCGATACTCTATAGGACGGTATGCTGACCTGCCTTCCTGGGTCCGGTTTGCTTTCGATATAGAAGGGTTGGATACGACGAAGAGGGCCTGCTTTAGGTTGCTTCTGGAACCCTAACAGTATCCTAAATTTATTTTAGACATGAAAATGCTGAGTAAACAAATACACACGTTTTTAGATTTGAATATTCTTAGTACCTTGGTCGTAAAAGACAACTTTAAAGCGCGCATCTGCTCGAGAGTTTGACTGAGTCCACCTTCGACCTCTGCTGCTTGATCTGATAGCTCCTTTGCCATCTTCGGGTTTTTCTGCCTTCTAGCTAGCCCTTTGAGCCTACGGTTCGCATCTCGTTGATCTTTGGACAGTCTCTGAAGCTGTTTACTGAGGGTAACGCCAACCTCGGTCTCTTTGAGCTTTTTATGCTGTTCCGCGATCTCATCTGAAAGTAGAACCTGTGGTTTAGCATTGGTAGGAGCGAGAATATCCCAAGCAGAATCGTAGGAATCCCCAAATCGGCTAACACTGCATCCTTTGTCTATCATGTCGTTCCAAAATTCTGACTTGAGCTGCATTTCCCTATCTTCTCCTATACCTGGCGCGACATGATTCCACATTGTTGTTACAAGAATAACACGCGGCATCGCATTCCTCCCGCACAGACTCGCGAATAGTTCAAGATTCTTCAATGGGGAGCCAGCCATTCGCTTGTCAGAAATCCGATGCAAATAGAGGATAGTATCCAAGTTAATCCGGTCATTACGGCTAATGAAGGATGAGATTAAGTAAGTATTCGCTTCAAATGCTGAACTCACGCTTTTACGAAGAATTCGGCGATCATACCAAGGATTTCGACATCAGATTTGTATGTATCATCAAAGCCAGGGGTATCAATCAAGACAACAGGTTGCCCGTCCCTGGAAACGGAATTGGTGCGCACGATCTCCGCCGTGCAAGATACCAAGCCATGGCCGACTCCTTGATAACTTTGTCGTGTTGCATATTGGATGAACTAAAACCGTAGTTAGTCATAAAACTCTCGACATATATTAGCATCGTCATACGGTGCTCTTTCCTGATCCGGTGGGGCCCATAAGACTGGCACAGTGTCAACACCAGTGTATGGTCACGTTTGAAGCACGTACACGACGACTCTCTCAGCTCCTTTGGATCTGGACATAGCGAAGAATGGCCGACGGATGTGAGAGGGGGATTTGGAAGACTCAAAAAGATGAAACTAACCAACACGAGGTTAGAATGCGGTCCTCTGCAGGTGTCCGGCGATGCGCATGGCAGATCAATTCCTTGGCTCGGGGATTTCATGGCTGTGAACACGGTAATTTTTTGTATAGAAGTTCGGCAGTATTATGGTTGGATGTCACAATGGGGTCTTCTATAAACCTCAGCTTTGCTTTCTCTTGACTCCAGGCACACTCCTAGGTTCAAATAATCTTGCAAAAGCGATGATCGAGGGGTTTCCGTTTACATGCTCACTGGAAAGATTGCATTGTCCACTAGGTGCACGGACGCGGGATAGTTCCATACGATGTAAAGCCCAGCTATCCATGATAACACAAACACGCAAGGTTGGTCCATAACCGGACGTTCCTGGTAGATACGTGAATTGTTATTAAGATTTGCATGTTTAAGCCAAACGACGCGAGATATATTCACCGCTCACCTTGCGCTTCTAAATAATCAATCTATCACGAGGAATGTTACTATAGTATAAACATCTTCATTTCTC